AGAATGGCTTTAACAAAATTTTTTTATTGGGGCACCTGGCTGGCTCAGTCAGTAGAGCATGCAATTCTTGATCTTGGGATCATGATTTCAAGCCCCATGTTGGGTATAGAGATTCCTAAAAATATATATATATTTCTATTCATGGATAAAAGATGAGACATCACCTAATGAAATAATATGCAGCTATTAAAAAGAATAAAGCTAGGGCACCTGGGTGGCTCAGTTGGTTAAGCGTCCAACTTTTTTTTTAAGTTTAAATTCAATTAACATATAATGTATTATTGGTTTCAGGGGTACAGGTCTGTGATTCATCAGTCCTATGTAATACCCAGTGCTCGTTACAACACATACCCTCCCCAGTGAGCGACCAACTCTTGATTTCGGCTCAGGTCATGATCTCAGGGTCATGGGATGGAGCCCCGCGTAGGGCTCTGCACTCAGCGCTAAGTCTCCTGAGATTCTCTCTCCCTTTCTCTCTGCCCCTCCCCCTGTTCACACTCTAAATAAATAAACAAACAAATAAATAAAAAATTTTTTTAGGAATAAAGCTAATCTATAGGTACTGCTTTAGAACAATCGCCAAGTGTCGTAGTCTATTCGGACTACTATAATACAGACTGGATGGCTTATAAACAACAGAAGGTTTTTGCTCATAGTTCTGGAGGCTGGAAGTCCAAGATCAGGGTGCCAGCCTGGTCAAGTGAAGGTTCTCTTCCAGAACACAGACTTCTTGTACCCTCACATGGGAGGAGGGACCAGGGAGCTCTGTGGAGCCTCCTTTTTTTTTTTTTTTTAAGATTTATTTATTTTTACTTGAGAGTGAGAGAGAGGGAAGGGAGAGAATCCAAAGTAGATGACAACCCCCCCCCCAATGAGCGGGGAGCCTGACTCAGGGCTCAATCTCAGGACCCTGAGATCATGACCTGAGCTGAAACCAAAAGTTGAACACTTAACAGAGTGAGCCACCCAGGTGCCCAGAGTCTCTTTTCTAAGAGCACTAATCCCATTCATGAGGGCTCCACCCTTATGACCTAATCACCTCCTAAAGGACCCACACACTAATACCATCACCTTTAGGGGTTAGGATTTCAAAATATGAATTTGAAGGGAACACATACCTTCAGACCATAGCACCAAGGTATGCTGTGGGAAAAAAAATATATCTTTTGCCACAAAAATGCCGTGAAACACACTACCCCAATATGCAGTAGCTTTAAAACAGTTGTGGGGTTGGCTGAGAGTTGGCTGATAGGGACTGGGCTCAGCTGGGAAGCTCTGCCCCATACTGTTAAAAACAAGACACTGGGGCCCCAAACGGAGTCACGTATGCTACGCCCCATGTCACCAAACTAGGACTTAAGACAGTTTCAGCTTTCCCAGAAATGGAATCTTAAACCACTCAGTCAGGGATCACCTGATCAGCACGAGTGAGGTCATCTGCCTGATAGACCCCTGCCAGTCCCTAAAGGAAAAAGTAACCTTGCAATAATCAACCCACTCTTTGGCATAAATTCCTTGTTCTTGCTCCCTTCTGCCTAAAAGGTCTTTCATTTCAAACTGCTCCTCGGAGCTCCTTTCCATCTGCTAGGTTAGATGCTGCCCGATTCAAATTGATTTTTGCTCAAATAAACTCTTAAAATGTGTATTATGCCTCAGTTTCTCTTTGAACATTGTGGGGTGTGGGCCGAAGAGGGGCAGCCACACAAGGGAAGCCTTTCTCATGCCTGCGTCAATCACAAAAGGAAACACTCTCAGCCCCTGGAGGTCCAAGCTCAGACCCAGCAGGACCGTCGCTCTTGCCATTGGCCAAAGCAAGTCACATGACTGCACCCAACGTCAAGGCCATCATTCAGCCTACCTCCACAGGTAAGGCTCTTTTTATTTGTGTTTTTCTGAAATGGGCACTCACGCTCATACATACACACACAATTCTTATCCATGAAATATTTCTGGATGGATATTAGAAACCAGTAATCATGTTTGCTTCTGGGAAGGGCGTCTCGGGATCAAGGGAAGACAAAGACCTACTTTTCAGTCTATAGTCTCTTGTTCTCTGTGAATATCATTTCTGACAGTGCTTAACTTCTTCTTTTTTTTTAAGATTTCATTTATTTATTTGACAGAGAGAGACACAGCGAGAGAGGGAACACAAGCAGGGGGAGTGGGAGAGGGAGAAGCAGGCTTCCCGCGGAGCAGGGAGCCCGATGCGGGGCTCGATCCAAGGACCCTGGGATCATGACCTGAGCCGAAGGCAAACGCTTAACGACTGACTGAGCCACCCAGGTGCCCCAACAGTGCTTAACTTTTTATATTAAAAAGAAAGTGGTGAGGGCGCCTGGGTGGCTCAGTTAGTTAAGTGACTGCCTTCGGCTCAGGTCATGATCCTGGAGTCCCAGGATCGGTCCCGCGTCGGGCTCCCTGCTCAGCGGGGAGTCTGCTTCTCCCTCTGACCCTCCCCCCTCTCATGTGCTCTCTCTCTCTCTCAAATAAATAAATAAAATCTTTAAAACAAAAAAAAGTGGTGAGCTTTTTAAAAACTATGGCCAAAAAGGGCACCCAGCTCAATAGAGTCTCAGTCAGTAGAGCGTGCGACTTTTGATCTCAGGGCTGTAAGTCTGAGCTCCACATTGGGTGTAGAGATTACTTAAAAATAAAATCTTAAAAAAATAAAAATAAATAAATAAAAACTGTGGCCAGGAGGTGAAGAGAAAAATCCCCCAACTCATCTACCCATTTTCCTGACATGGCAAACTGAGGCCTTCAGTGATAGGATGGGGGTTTTGTTGAGTGCCTTCTTGGTGGTGGTCTTGGGCAACAGATCTTCCTCTGAGCCTCAGCTTCCTCATCTTTAGATGGGGCTAGTAATAATGCCTACCTCAGGGGGTGGCTGTATGGATTCAGGGGCTCTGCTAATCCTTGGCTGTGTGATCTTGGACAAGTCACTTGGCTCTCTGTGCCTCATCTCCTTCACCTGTGGAATGGAGATAATCATAGCACCTACCCTATCCGGTTGGTGTACATTCACAGAGTTAATTTACAAGACGTGGCATAGGGCCCACCCTGGGTAAGAACTCAGAACCCCCAGCCCTCATTGGTGTTGCGCAAAAGTGCTTGACACAGGACCGGCCGAAAGAAATGGTCACCTTAGTCAACACTGTCTCCTTTCAGCCTTGATCCCATTTAATCCTCAGCACTACGCTATGTGGGGAGCGTGATCATTCAGGTTTTATAGACTTGAAAAATAGGTGCTCAGAAACATTGCTTGCCCCAGGTTATATGGAAAGGAAATGGCAAGATCAGAATTTGAACTCAGATCTGCCTGGCTCCAATTGCCACCCCCACCCCCACCCCCCATACACACAGTGTTTACCGCGTGCTACTCTGTTCTAAACCTTTTACAGGGATTATTCACTAATCCCCACAAGAGCCTCACAAAGTAAGTTACCTGGAACCTGGAACCTGAGGCCCAGAGAAGTTCGTTCCCGGCTCAGGGGTCACACAGCCCGCAAATGATGGAGCTGGGACCTGCACCCGGCTCCAGGCCCTGCACTGCCTCTTCGTAAGCTCGTGGCAGGTCCAGAAATGATGTTCAGCACCCTGAGACCAACCCAGTGCGGGGAGGAGGGAAGGGTTTGTCTGCCCCCTTCTACCCTGTTCCCTAGAAATACCTGGGGAAGTTAGAGCGTGAGTTTGAGTTTTATCTCCCATTATTCAATCAACAGCTCTTCGTCCAACAATTCGCTCTGTGTTCAGCCTGTGCTGGGTAGCCCTGGGGACACAATGGTGCCTGAGACCGTCCCCTCCTGGGACTTGCATTCCAATGTTGGAGACAGACCTGTCCTCAAGACAGCGACGACCCAGAGTGGCAGGGCTGAGTCATGGGAGCCCAGGAGGCTGCCAGAGCCGGGGAGGAATGTCTCATCCAGCCTTGGGGGTCGGAGAGGGCTTCCTGGAGGAGGGAACATCTGCACTGGGGCTCAGAGAACAAGGTAGCAGAGAGCAGGTTGGCCGTGGCTCTGAGGAAAGGTGCGGATCTGCGCTGTAGTCCGGGGTCCGGACCACGGGCCAGCAGCGCCCTCTGCTGGACACATCCTGTAGTGCAGCGACCCAGGTACTGCAGGAGTTCGGAAAAGCCTCGCGTTGAACCAAATTCTATGATGTGAGAATCCTGTGCGCCCAGCTTTGGCCAATTTACATTTCTAAGACTTGATTCATTCAGTCAACCATTCAACAAATACTTATTGAGCACGTACTTTGCACCAGGCTCTGTTCTACTGCTAAAGATACAGTGCTGACAATACAGAGCCCTATCCATACGCTAACTCATTCAATCCTTGCAGCCTTTGACCTTCCCCATTTTACAGATTCAGAAAATTGACACACAGAGAAGTTACATTACTTGCCCAAGGCCTTCACAGCCAGTAAGTGCTGGAATCAACTTCAAACCCAGAGCCAATTTTTAGCCATTACAATTACCTCGCCAATAATGTGATGAAACATCATAATATGACCACGTTACATAAAATAATTTTAGGCCCTGAAAAGTTTTGTGAACAAGATCAAGCAGGGGAATGCGGTAGTGTTTTGGTGAGACGGTGTAATTTGGGAGGGGCAGTCAGGGAAGGCCTCTCGGAGGAAGCGGCCTTTGAGAAGCTCCCAGACTAACGGATGGGATCTGTGGGAAGAGAGGTCCAAGCAGGGGGCACAGCCAAAGGAAAGGCCGGGCGGCAGGCACTGAAAGAAAGCCGTCGGTCTGGGATCCAAAGTTTCCAAGATTCCAGCTGCGCTGAAAGCCGACTTTCCAGACTCCAGCGCGCTGGAATCGTCCTCGGATTCCCCGGGCCCGAGAGACCACGGGTTCGTCGGCGCTGATTCTGCTACTGCCTCAGGGCCGGGGCCGCTGGGCTCCAGTGGAGCCGGGCGGTGGGCGGGGTCGGCCTCACCTGCGGGGGCGGGGCTCCCGGCCGCCCCGCCCCTCGGAGGAGCCGCCAGCGGCCCGACCCTCGGGGCTCAGCTGGGAACTGCGGGGCGTGCGCGGTGTGCGGGACTCGGCCGGGCGCATCGTGGCGGAGCGGGTCCCGGAGCCGCCCGCGCTCAGGTGGGCCCCCCGAGTGCGGGGCGGGAGTCCCGGGGACCGCGAGGATGGGGGCGGAGGGGGAGGGCTGGGCCCGGCGCACCCTTGGGCCCGCTGGCTTGGCGACGGGGACGGGCCTTGGGGCCCCTGGGAGCCCCCCTGCCCCGCCCTGGGGCTCCCCCCCCCGGGTCCGGAGGCCCAGCTGGGGCGCCCCCCCGCCCAGGGCGCAGGTAAACAGGAGCGAAGACGGGGCGGGGCCTGGGGGGAGGGAAGGGGCCCTTGTGACGGCCTGGCTGGGGAAGCCCGGGTGCGCGGGACTGGGCCAGCCCCGCCAGGGGCAAGGTGTGTGGTTTAGGGGGCTGGCCGTGGTGGGGGCCTCCTGCCTGCTGGTGTGGGAGTGGAGCTGGTGCGTGTGAGAGGCGGTGTAGGAAGCCCAGGTGTGTGTGATGGTGTAGGCAGCTCAGGTGTGTCTGATGGTGCAAGAGGCTCAGGTGTGCGAGCGATGGCGTCAGGCGGTGGGTACCGGTAAGAAAGGCAGAGGGACGGTCCGTGGAACCCTGCGCGGGCGCCGAGGGACTGTGGGAATGATGTGGAGCTCTTTCGGAGATAGGAACACGTGGGCGACCTCTGATTGTGAGTCTACTGCGGGGGGTGGGGGCTGGGGGTGGGGGAGGGAGGTGAACTGTTTTGTAGGATTAGGTGCGTGACCCAGAGCTTGCGGGGCTGGGCAGTCTGTCTGCCTGTAAGGTGCGGGGAGCCGCAGGGAGGTGGGCGGTGGGGGACCCGCATGGATGGCCAGGGCGTGCCTGTGATTAACACCGTCAGCTGTGCGGTTGTGCGTGCGTGAAAGGGAGTTGTTGTTCGCGGGACTGAGTGTGGGCAAAATCGTGTGAAAAATGGTTGGAGCTGTCAGAATGACTCTCCGTGAACTTATGTGAACCTGACTTTGTGGGGCTTGTGTGTGACTCTGAGTACAGTGTGATACGCACACACATACGTATAGCGAGAGGGCTTGGCCAAAGCCCCACATATACGTAGAGATTGATGGCAGGTGAGAGCCTGCAGAATATAAAATCCATGGCTTATGTGCCTTCCCTACTGTGTGTCTCAGGGTATATGATCGTGAGCACGGGCGGAGGTACCCAAACCACTGGGCTGCTTATGGTGGACTAGAGGGTACACGCAGAAACCGTGGATGATCTGTCTCCACCGCTGCCTGTGCCTGTCGTGGGCACCCCCCTGGGACAGGACGGCTGAGTCTGTGTTCAGGAACCATTGATATGCCCACATTTGGAGCTGTGTGTGTCTGCGTGCGTGCTACGGGCGGGTGTGTGAATCCCTGGCTGGCCCGGCGAGGTGTTGGAGGAAGTGGGGAAGGAGGTGACGGGTCCGCAGTGACTCCTAGGAGTGAGTGTGTGTGCGTGTGCACACGTGCCTGGAGGAGGCACATGATGGAGAGTTAGCTGCTTGCAGGACCGTGTGAGTGCGGGAGAGGGGTGTGTCGTGGGGGTAAGTGCAAGGAGACAGGCTGAATGTGAGTGATTTGGTTATCTTTTCACAGCGGGGGGTGCGGGGTGGACAGAGCTTGTGTGTGTGTGTGTGTTGGCTTTTATCCCTGAGAGGAAAATAGACCTGTGCGTTGGGTTGTCTTTCCAAGAGGAGAGCGTACATGTGTTATTTCTTTTTTTTTTTTTTTTTTAAGATTTTATGTATTTATTTGACAGAGAGAGACACAGCGAGAGAGGGAACATAAGCAGGGGGAGTGGGAGAGGGAGAAGCAGGCTTCTGGCCGAGCAGGGAGCCCGATGCGGGGCTCGATCCCAGGACCCCGGGATCATGACCTGAGCCGAAGGCAGGCGCTTAACGACTGAGCCACCCAGGCGCCCCTGTATTAGGTTTTTTGAAAGGAAAATGCGGATGTGTGGGACTGTATTCAGTTTTATTTTTTAGAGGAGACAGAGCATGTCCAGAGTATGTCGTGTTTCTGAGAGGAGAATGTTTATCACGTTCTATTTTTAAGAAAGGAGTGTGTGTACGTTGAGTTGTATTTCTGAGAGGGGAGCGTGTGTATGAGCGGGTGTGTTTCTGAGAAAGTATGTATATTGCACTGTATTTGAAAGAAGAAAGCATGTTTTCGATTTCTGAGAGGAGAATGCATGTGTCGCGTTGTCTAAGAAGGGAGGGTGTGTGTGTGTTGGGGTCTATTTCTGGGAGCGGACTGTGTGTGTGTGTGTATGGTGTGTGTATAAGGGCTCCAGAGGCACCACGAGCTGTCATTGACTTTGTCACCCACAGACAACCACATTGTTGGGACCCCCACCCATTAGCATCGAGGCCTCAGACTCTGAGTTGTCACATGGCTAGTGTGACATCCCTGGGCTGTGGCTGCCACACGTGTGTCCCAACATGCCTTGGGCTGGCTGAGCCTGTCTGCAGTGGAGGGTGGAGCCCCTGTTCCCTTGGGTCTGTCAGCTCCTCAGGTCCTGGGAGCTGACACATGAGCCCCCCCCGTCCTGATCCCCCCCAAACCTAAAGGGCTCCTCTGCTTCCGGCGCCCCAGCCCCTTGGCCCTGTCCTCCCGCCCCACCCCCAGTGGTCTGACTGGTTCCCAACAAAACACCCTAAGAATGAGCTCACGGAGAGGCCGCCGCCTCCACACGCCCCGCCCCAAGCGCCCGGCAGAGGCGGGGGTGTCCAGTCCAGGTCACACGGCCGGGAGGTGTTCTGGGCCCAGGGATCTGGGGCCCTTGGGGTGGACGGGGCTGGCCAGGTGAGCTGAAGGCAGGTGAGAGACCACGAGACCACTGTTTGCCCTCTTTGGGTTAGTTATACGTGGGGTTTTGGACTTGCCCTCGGGGCAGGGCCCGGGGCTGAGGACAGAGCTAGACTAGGATGTTTCCAGTTGCCGGCTGGCTGGGACGGGTGTGGGACAGGGAGCCAGCCGGAGTGAGGAGGGCACGGGGACAGAGGGCCGGCCGGGATGGCTGGACAGGGAGACAGTCGGGAAGGGTCCTCCTGGGCCCGAATGGCATACAGGCTGACGATTCCCCAACCCCCCCCAGGAGCAGCAATGTCAGTGCAGGTGGCAGCCCCTGGAAGCGTGGGGCTGGGCCCAGAGCGCCTGAGCCCCGAGGAGCTGGTGCAGCAGACCCGACACGTGGTGCAGGGGTTGGAGGCCCTGCGGGCCGAGCACCATGGCCTGGCCAGGCACCTGGCTGAGGCCCTTGCGGGACAGGGCCTGGTGGCCGGCTTGGAGCTGCTGGAAGAAAAGCAGCAGGTGGTGAGCCACGCGCTGGAGGCCATCGAGCTGGGACTGAGTGAGGCCCAGGTATGAGGGGACCAGCTCTCCAGCTATGCGGGTGAGGCTCAGAGCGGGGAGGAGGCCTGGGGATGAAGGAGACAGGTATGCGGTGGGGGTGGGGAGCCAGGCCTGGGGAGGAGAGGCGCTAGGCCGGAAATGGGATTCCTGGGCAGCATTAGGGGGTCCTGGTGTGGTGCAGGGGCCCCTGAACCAAATGGCATCCATCTATAGAACTCTGGGTCCTGGGGAGACTTTGGGGTCACATGGGTAGAATATGAAGTGTCCCTACATGTAATTTGTGTGGCTGGGTGAGATCAGAAGGGTCCCCGGACAGGATCTGGGTATGGCCGCTGGGAGCCCCTGCACAACCTTGAGTACCATGGAAGCGGGGGACCCTGGGCGGAGTGGGGGTGCTCGGGGTCGGGCCCCTGACCCCTGGGCCCACGCAGGTGCTGCTCGCCCTGTCGGCACACGTGGGCTCGCTGGAGGCCGAGAAGCAGCGGCTGCGAGCGCAGGCCCGGCGGCTGGCCCAGGAAAACTCATGGCTGCGGGAGGAGCTGGAGGAGACGCAGCGGCGGCTCCGGGCCAGTGAGGCGGCCGTGGCCCAACTGGAGGAGGAGAAGAGCCACCTGGAGTTCCTGGGGCAGCTGCGGCAGTATGACCCGCCTGCGGAGAGCCAGGTGCTGCCGGGCTGCGCCGGGCGCTGGGCCCCCATCCTCCTTAGACACCCCACAGACCTGTACCCCCCACCCCCGGGAGCCCCCCGCCGTGCCCTAGATCCTCCCTCCAAAGCTCTGGATCCCTGACAGAGTTCCACAACCTCCAGACCCACTAGAATGTCCACAGAAGCACCCCCCCCCCGGCTTCCACAAAGCCCCCAGATCCTCCCCAAGCCCTCAGGAACACCCCCCCCTGCCGAGGCTCCTGACCACTGCCTCCCTCAAACCCTGAGATCCAGGACCCCGGTCTCTAAAGCAAACTCCCAGCCCTCTTGACCCCCCCCTTTCCTGCCCTCCACAGCGGCCTGAATCCCCCCCTCGCCGAGACAGCCTGGCCTCCCTGTTCCCCAGTGAGGAGGAAGAAAGGAAAGGTGGGTGTCGGGGATCCTGCAGTTGTGGGGCCGCTCAGCCCCGGAGGACGAGAGGCTTAGGCTGGGGAGGGACCGTGAGACCCCGAGGTGGGTGTCCGCGCAGGGGAGCGGGAGCACGAGGCCAAGGGGCTGGGTCAGGGCGGGTGACGGCCGAGGCTGGAAGCCGTGAAACCAGGCGTGGTGGCCGCCGCGCCGCAGGCCAGGCAGACCCCGTGTTCAGGTCCCACGGACCAGCTAGACGCCTGCGGTCCCAACCTCAGAGGCCCGGTGCGGGGCCCGTCACCGCAGGCCCCGTGGGGCGGCTGTGGTCCTGGGGGAGGTGTCCCCTTTTACGCGGTGGCAAGGCTGGGAGGCCGGCGGCGCCCTGATGCCCGGCGGCCGCCCGCAGGCCCCGAGGCAGTGGGGGCTGCCGCGGCTCAGCAGGGGGGCTACGAGATCCCCGCCCGCCTTCGGACCCTGCACAACCTCGTGATCCAGTACGCGGGCCAGGGCCGCTATGAGGTCGCTGTACCGCTGTGCCGTCAGGCCCTGGAGGACCTGGAGCGGAGCTCAGGCCACTGCCACCCCGACGTGGCCACCATGCTCAACATCCTGGCGCTGGTATACCGGTGAGACCGCAGCCGGCCCTGGACCCGTCGTTGGGGGCACGGGAGCTGGGGTCCTGCTCTGCCAGCATGGGGCACCTGGGTGGGTGGGGCTGGGGGAAGCCGCTGTGACCCAGGCGAGGAGTCGTCAGAGAGCGTGGGCAAGAGACCCCAACAGCGCGGGGAAGAGACCGGGGGCTTGCCAGCAGAGGGAGCCTGTGCTCGACTTGGAAGGTAGTGGAGACACCCACAGGGGACCGCGGAAGGGTGACCGCCCAGCGTGGCTCACCCCCCTCCGTCCCTGGGCCACCTCACAGGGACCAGAACAAGTACAAGGAGGCCACAGACCTTCTTCACGATGCCCTGCAGATCCGGGAGCAGACGCTAGGCCCTGAGCACCCTGCAGTGAGTGGGGGCCCAGGAGTGAGGGCTGCGGGGCCCTGCCTCTCCCCCTCCCCCGCCCCAACACACACCCTGACCTGCCTCCCCTACCCTGCAGGTGGCCGCCACCCTCAACAACCTGGCGGTGCTCTATGGGAAGCGGGGGCGGTACCGGGAGGCGGAGCCCCTGTGCCAGCGAGCCCTGGAGATTCGGGAGAAGGTACTGCCCACCCCCGCGGAGTCCCTGGTCCACTGGCCCCCGCGGGGTCCCTAGTCCACGGGCCCCTGCTGCCCACCCCCGCGGAGTCCCTGGTCCACGGGTCCTTCCCACTTGATCCTGATGCGCTCAATTCAGTGGCTCGTGCCTTGTGACCCTGATCCTATGATATCCTTCCCATCTGCTCTTGTGAGCCCCCAGTTTGAGCCTAGATCATCTCATGACCCCACTGTGCTTGACCTTTAATGAACTCCATCTGATCTTGACTCTACTCGTCCTTCTACATCACTTCGTATGCCTCCCAGCCCAGTCCTGACCTTCCAATCCCATATGACCACCTTGACCTGATTAAGCCTGTTTGTGCAACTTCTACCCTCTGGCCTACAATCTCCTAACTCCCCATTGGTCCTATGAACCTTTCCTCATGACCCCCCCTTGCGGCTATCAGTATCACATCCATCCCCCCCAAACCCTAGGTCCTGGGCAGCGACCACCCGGACGTGGCCAAGCAGCTCAACAACCTGGCCTTGCTCTGCCAGAACCAGGGAAAGTTCGAGGAGGTGGAGCAGCACTATGCCCGAGCCCTGAGCATTTATGAGGCCCTGGGAGGGCCCAACGACCCAAACGTAGCCAAGACCAAGAACAACCTGGTGAGGGCGCTGCGGGGCGCAGGTACAACTCGGCCCTGGGGCCGACCGCCAGGGGTCCCCCAGGAGAGACACCCACTGGCTCAAGTGAGCCTCTGGAGCAGGGGCCCTCTAAGACTTGGCCTCTGAGCTGGGCCCTGACTCACTAGGCACGTAGAGGACATGGAAGCCACAGGAAACACGCAAGTTGGTGGGGCCAGATGACAGTGTCAGATGTTTATTGAGCTCTGGACCCCCTTCTTAGTCCTTA